TTGAAGTTTGGATCAGTAGTACTTGTTGATTTATCTGATGTAGTCATGCACATCATGGTCAGTTTTATATATTACTTAAGGCAGATCTGAGAAGAAATATGCGATGACCCACAGATAGCATTTGCATTCTCTAGATAAATGTCAATAAAGTCACAGTCGTAAAGAATGGTAAAATGCATTCAAATTTTAAGCAAATGGCAATATATACATGCATAAATATGTGTATGACTGTTTTATTTATTTTGAATTAATAAAACTGTAAATTTGTATATTTTAGTTTTTGTTTTTTTTTTTTAATTTATTTTAATTTATTTTGCAATACAATTCAGTTCTACATATCGGTCACGGATTCCCTTGTTCTCCCCCCTCCCGTCCCCCTCACCTTCCCCCCAACGCCCCCCCCATTCCCATCTCCTCCAGGGCAAAGCCTTCCCCACAGACTGAGGTCAACCTGGTAGACTCAGTCCAGGTAGGTCTAGTCCCCTCCTCCCAGGCCAAGCCAAACAATCCTGCATAGGCCCCAGGTTTCAAACAGCCAACTCATGCAATGAGCACAAGATCTGGTCCCACTGCCTGGATGCCTCCCAAACAGATCAAGCCAATCAACTGTCTCACCCATTCGGAGGGCCTGATCCAGTGTGGACCCCTCAGCCATTGGTTCATAGTTCATGTGTTTCCATTCATTTGGCTATTTGTCCCTGTGCTTTATCCAACCTTGGTCTCAACAATTCTCGCTCATATAAACCCTCCTCATTCTTGTTGATTGGACTCCCAGAGATCCACCCAGGGCCTAGTCATGGATCTCTGCATCCAGATCCCTCAGTAGTTGGATGAGGTTTCTAGCACAACAATTAGGGTGTTTGGCCATCCCATCACCAGAGTAGGTCAGTTCGGGCTGTCTCTCGACCATTGCCAGCAGTCTGTTGTGTGGGTATCTTTGTGGATTTCTGTGGGCCTCTCTAGCACTTTGCTTCTTCCTGTTCTCATGTGGTCTTCATTTACCATGGTCTCCTACTTTGACACAAAACAGCTAAAAAAAAAACTGGAAAATTTGCAACCTACTGTCACAAGTTCTGATAATCTGGCTCAAGTTTGCTCTGGGAAGAGTTTGCAAGTACTGGTCAGGTTAGTCTGTGACCTTAGACCATGGGCAAGAAACTGAGAGTTTGTGCCACAATGGCAACAGAAACTTAGAAAAAAAGGACAGCCCAGGGGAAAATGTAAAGGAAACAGAGAACTGAGAAATCTTGAAAACTTATCTTTTAAAAAAAGCCTTTACTCCTTAAGAAATGGTAAGCTGAATCAAATAAAAAGGAAAAATCTGGAATTGAGAGCAAAGTTGGAAAGTCTCTTTTCAGATGCTGTTAACTTTCTGTATATCTCGGTACAACAATGCAATACCGAAGGTTTTCCTTGTGTTACTCAGGTTTTTGTGATTTTGAAAAGTGCATGAGAGAAAGACACAGAGAAATGCATTATCTGGGCTCATGGTTTCAAGTGGCTTTAGCATATAGTCAACTGGTTTCATTGCCATAGGCTTGAAATGACAAAGCAGAAGAGTATCATGGTATCTCTTCATAGAGGAAAGCTGCCCCTATCACATCATGGAAGGCAGGAAGGAGAGAAAGGGTGTGTGTTGATAGACAAGGTACACTTCAAAGATGCCCTCCCAGTGACCTAACTCTTTCAAGGAGTCCCATCCAGCTAGGACCCCATCAGTGGATCAGTCAACTAATAAAGTTAGAACTTTTCTGATCCAGTCACCTCTTGATATGAGCTCGGAATAGCATTCAATAGATGAGCCTTTGTAAATGACAATTTATGTCAAGCCAACAGTGGTTAATGGAAGGAAGCAAACTAATGGTTTTAACCAGATTGGGAGTGAAGGCTTTTGAGAGTGGCTAGTGTATGTAGACCAGTCTTTTGAAGAATTGTTTCATGTGTATATTTGCATCCTTTAAATTATTTTTTAGCAACTTCATACATGTATAGACTGCATTTTGATCCTATACATCAATAATACCCTCTCTTATATACTACCCCTCCTTCCCATGAAATTCCCTTCTTACTCATAATATATATTTTTTTGAATGTGAGAGAAAGTTGTATTGATTTTTTTAATGAATAAACCAGTGTAAGGAACAAAGTTAAATTTCCTATAATGGTAGAGTTTGCTCTGTTTTGAACTTTATTTTTCTACCAAGATTGAGGACATGAGACATCTCTTCATTCTAATGTGATGTTGTATCATCTGAAAATATTGCAACTGCTGGAACTTGTTGTTTCAAAGGGCAGGACTGATGCCCAGAGACACAGGGAAACCTGGCTTCGTGAGCACTAATTCAATCTCTTCCTCTTTCCCCTTTATTCTTTTAAATATCTATTTCTGCTTCTCAGGTTAAAAAGGGCTTAATTAAATGTACCAGCTGTTAATTTGTAATCTCTTCAGCATCATATTCTAATGCTTAGGAGAGTACTAATTTTTTTAAAGCTGGTTTTGAGATTTAAGAGGACTTCAAAAGAACTCTGAGTTATGAAGCCCTTTATTGGCTCACAGTTCAAAAACAAAAACAATAAAAAAATGTGATTTCTTTTAAGACCATGTCGTAGAAGAGCCTTGGGGGCCTGCTGCACTGTTAGGTCATCTGCCTTCTTTCAGAGAGATGTTCCACATCTTCCATGACAGAGCAAATGAGTGAAAATAAGTGACAGCATGCAGGTTGTCAGTGTGCAGGTCAAGTCGGCTCGTTGGCGTAAATTTCAATACTTTGAAGTCTACATCTCTTGCTGATCTCTCTGGAAATCTAATGTTCTGCAATAAATCCTTTCCATCATACAAATTTACTTTCAAGCAGAACGTGGCATGGTTGTAGAGAATAGAAATGTCCATCATAGATGTCACAATGCATTTTGTAGGGTTGTGACAGATTGCCTAAAGCTGGGGGATTTATAAAGAACTGACATTTATTCTTTGGGTTTTGAAGGCTGAGTTTAAGATCAACTATTGAGTGCCCATCCAGGGAGGGTTTTCTTGCTGCTTCGTTTCCCGAAAATGAGAGGAAACAGAAGGCAAGAATGAACAAGGGAGGGAGCTCACAGGCCTCAAATCATTTACCACTGACATTTATCTATTCATTTGGGTGCTACCCTCATGGCCTAAACACATTCAATTAGGCCCACTTCTTGACTCTGCTTTACGGAGCTGAAATTTCTGACACGTGATTTCTAGGGAACATACTTAACATTCATTATAGCATATAGCAAAGGACATCAATTTGACTTCCTTCTATTTATGAGCATAACTTTCTGCTGGATACTAAGCAAGTGAGGGACAATCTATTTGATTAGGGGAGGTTACTGGGGCTATGGAACAAGGAAGAGTTATACAACTAGAATTATACTAGTGTTATGTTAGGAATACCACTAGTTAGTTAGCAATTAACAGTGAGAAGTTAACGCCTGAGCTATTTGTAGAGACCCAGAGTCCACTTTTCTCCTTAAGACTGTGGTTTGCAGCTAATATTGCTGTGGAATTGTTCTCACTGTGGCATACATTTCTGATGAGGGCGGCAAAACGGAAGGGTTGTCAGTTACGTACTGACTTTATTTGAAAGAGTGAAGTACAAGAGTTTGTAGATTGTCCTCTTAAAAGTCCTCATTGGATGTCTTTGAGTACCTTACCCAAGGACTTTTAGACAGGGTAGGGAATATGGCATGCAGCCTCCAAGGCAGGCTTCAATGTTATCCTTCTCTTGACCCTCATATTCACGTATAATCTTCCATTTACTATAGACTGGTCCTGTTAACTTGCTTTTGCTGTGTAGGGTATGGCAAAAATGATGCAATGTCATATTGGAGACTAGTCACTCTGTGCCCTCCACCCTGCTTAGTTTATTTGCTATAATAGCTGCCAGATACCTTGGTACTAATTGCTCTTTGGAGACCCATTGTAAGAAACAGAGTGGCCTCCAAAGAACAGCATCAAATAATCAAAAAAAAAAAATAGATTCTTACCAAGAATGACATAACTAAGCTTGGCAGATCCACCCCTAGGCAAGACTTGAGATGACTGTATCCTCAGCTGGCATTCTAATTACAGTCCATAGGTGAACCAAAAGAACCTGCTACATCCAGATATCTTACCCATGGAAAACAAGAGATGCTCATTCTTAAGTCACTAAATTATGATGTAGTTGGTTATACAGAAACAGTTAACTAATATAGAGCCAATCCATTCTTATTTTTCTGAATGCCACTCTTTTACAAATACATATCCTATAATTATATGTTGGCCAAAATTAACTTCATAAGAATGACGCTATCCACCAGGGGCCAGGTGCAAAAGGGCTGAAATTTCAAAGTGTAACTGAGAAAAGCTTAATAATAAATGAGGACTCTCTTACTTAGGGAGGGACTGAAAAGGATGTAAGAATCAACCAAGTATGGTGAAACCCACAGAAACTAGCCATAACAGAAACTGCCAACAACCTGGTTTGCAGGATTCAGAGGATGTTACTCGTGCCAAGAGGAAGAGATGCTGAGAGAAGCAGTTCACGTTTCCACTGGGATCGTCAGGCTTAGCTGCCAGAGTAGCTCATGGGAAATTAGAGAAGGATATCAATGTAGTGACTTCTCTCCTCCTCCCTCTCCATGTGTGTATTTGGGTGCACATACCTGTGTGTGTCCATGTGGTGATCATAGTTTTATATTGAGATGTTTTCTGTTGCATTCTACCTTAATTTTTGAGATAGGGACCTATTAGTATACCTGAATGTTGGAATTCACCTAGACTGTCTGGCCAACAAAACCTTAGTATCCACTTCTCGCTTTTGCCAAACTATAGGATTATATACCCAAGGCAATGCCTGGCTCATGCACAGTTGTTGGAAATCTGAACTTAAGGTCTCATTCTTGCTGAGCTAGCACTTTGTGCACATAGCAATGTCCCGATTCTCTCATGCTATCTTCAGACATTCTTTCTCCACATTTATTATCCAAAGCCCAATTTAGCAACCCAAAGGCAAGAAGCCTGAGGTTTGTGGAGTTTTGTGGAAGATTATGCGGAAGAGGATGGTTATGAATCACCAGAGATGTGAAAAGATACTAAGCAACATGGGATATTCAAAGATGGAGATCGAGTACAGCCAGAAAATAAGGTGAGGTGTGGGTGCAACACATTTGGGGAAATTGGGTACTAATTTTTAGCAAAAATATAAAGCTTCCTTATCCTAGACACAGGCTATGCTCCTATTTCCACCATCTGTTCTCTATTACAGATTTCTGGCCAACACAAACTAAGTAAGGGCAGACTGCTTCTCTATCCAGCTCACGGTAGCCTTGGGTGAACTTGACTTTATGCACTTTGGAAGACTTCCTTGGAAGAATGATGTTGGATATGGTAGCGATGCTCCTACACGCCTAGTGTCCCTGAATGACTGTGTGGAGAAAAGACGACTATACACTAAAACAACTTCTAAAAGAAGATGGAATGGTAATTTTCAAGATTCATGCATGTGAAGCTGCTTTGCTCTTGCAATGTAGTCAATGTTAACTATTTCAAGGGTAAGGGATTAGGTATAGTAATACATTTTCTGCCAAATTGCAGACATTACTGACCATTGCGCCTTAAATACATTTGACTTTACATCTAACTTTACCAGTGTTAGCTAAAATGGATTAAGATTCTGAGAATGTAGTAGAAACTTTCCATTCTAAAAAATCAACATTCTCCAGGAGGGGACAATTTTCCAAAATGGATAAAATATCCTCCATCTCCCATGTCTTTCTTAGAATTTTCCTTTACCTCTTCTCCCACTGATAAGTAGTGCATGTGACGTCCCTTCTTAAACCTGGAATGCTTATCACTAACTACAATAAAGTGATGTGGTGAGGCCTCAAGGCTGTATATTAATGGATGCAATTTCAACTTCATTGGCACCTTGCAGTCCTGCTGCAATAGCAAGCTGTGAGGAGCTGGTCCACAGAGGCTGTTCCAATGAGCGGCCCTTAGGAACACCAATAAGACAAAGCCCATGGCTGGCAAGGTGCCTTAGTTAATAAAAGGTGCTTGTCATGTAATCCTGGCAACCTGTGTTTAATCCCAGGATCCTATGTAAAGGTGAAAGGAGAGAACTGCCTCTACAAGGTTGTCACTGACTCCCCCACCCCCCACACACTCTCTTTGTGGCTTGCATATACATAGAGACTAAAAAATGGAATCTTTTTTTTTTTTCCTTAAGAAAAATCTCAGGTCCTAGAAGGCAGAGCTAGGAGCTCAGAGGGCAGAGCTAACACTAACAGTAACAACAACAACAGCAACAAGAACAGTAACAGCAGCAGCAGCAGCAGCAACAACATGTCCAGGCAGTAGGACTGGATTTAATTTCTCTCAAGAAACATGCTGGTTTTATCATGGCTGTCATATATATCATAGCTATGTTTCCTATGTGTTTCCTCACCTCATTCCAATGGTAGTGTTCACAGCAAGAATCCTATGGGCATCCCACATTGGTATGGTTGTGTATGGGGAAGGTGATTTCTGTCCACAAGCTTTCAGACCGAGTACCAACAGCACTGATGAAATGCGTGGAAGCCATGCTACTTAGAGAGTTTTAGCTGCACCTGGACCTGATTTCAACAAAAAGAGGTTTAGCTCGAGGCAGATAATTCAATTGGATTAAACTTGAGAATTTTACATGTGAATAATGAACGGATTATTGGCAACAGAGTGGAGGCAGCAGAACATTACATTTCTCAAAATATCTCCACATGTATCTTTTTGTCCCATGCTTTTTCCCTAAGGTGTCTTCCACACACTTTCCACTGACAGGAACAGGGACCTGATATCTCTCCTTGCACTTGGATACACCTGCTAATACCGTGTCTTCTCAAACGAATTATAAAAGGCAAGAAAGATTCTGTCTTCTCTTGGGGTTGTTGTATTTGATTGCTAAGCTAAGGTGTCTTACCCAAGGTCTGTACCTACTACCTGCATTTCATAGCTGCTTTTTTGGCTCAAAAATATTTTGGTACTTCTAGTGTTTGGATTTCCTTTAAAAAGAAATACCAGACTATGCAGAGAAAAACAATTTTTTTGAAAAAGATTAAACTAAAACAATATGCTGTTACACTGTTGGCTTTGGGCTGCCTACTTTGAATACCTACCCTGCAAAATCAGTGAACACATTAGGCTGGTTATTTGCATTGCTAAGCTTATGAAGTTTGTGTTGTATCTATTATAAGATGAACATGCTGTTTTCATTCATAATCTATTCTATAATAGCTTAACTTTTGAATTATTTCAAGTTGGGGACCTTAGAAATGTCAGTGACTTCATAATTCTTTGGTAAATTATTTAAAGTCAGTCTCTGATTCTGGATTATTAGATGGTTTGCTATTGAAATCATCATCATAAGTAGATGCTTTACTCGTATTGCTACATTGATCACCCATTTTTGGGTGACTGCCTATTTAGTGTATTTTTTTTCATATTGTTGGGGGTGCTGTCCTTGAGCTGGTAGTCCTGGGCAGACTTAGCAACACAGAGGAGAAACTTAGTAAGTAGCATTCTTCTGTGATCTGTGCTTCAGATCCTGCATCCAGGTTCCTGCCTTGCTTGAGTTTGTTCCCTGGCTTCCTTTCATGAAAGAATATAAGCTATAAGGTGAAATAAAGCCTTTTCTCCACAAGTTTCTTGTGGTCATTGTGTCTATCACAGTCATGAAAATTAAACTAAGACATGATAGACTACTACACATGTTTGCCTTGAATTCATAAAGCATTTAGTATACAAAAACACTACTTATATGCTTATTAAATTGTTATATCAATTATATCCATATATAACAGATATACTATATTTAGAGTGGATTGGAGGGAGCAGAGAGAGGAAGGGGTACAGAGAGAGAGAGAGAGAGAGAGAGAGAGAGAGAGAGAGAGAGAGGGAAGAGAGAAGAGAAAATAAAGAAATTCTACTAAGGACTGAAGGATACATCATGAATATTAGTGAAAAAAAATCATATAGAGCAACCAGAGACTTGCATAGAGTTTTTAGCTCTTGCTTGCTAGAGACATGCAATCAAAACTCTAAACTAAAGTAGCGTTTGTAAGGTCATAAAACAGAATTGGTTAAATGGTTAAATAAAGTACACTAGTAAACATTTCTAAAAAGTATCCTGTGGCAAGATACCAAAAGAAGGTACCGAACTGACTTTAAATACTTACAATTTTATGCTTAATGTATTGAGAAATAGTATGTTAAAGCTACCTGTCTTATTTGCTAAGCTTGGAAATTAGTGAATTATTTGTGTCTGAAGATTTTCAAGGGCATAAAAGAATTGTGGTTGTTTGAAAGAAAATGGCCTCCCAGAGGGAGTGGCAGTATTAGGAGGTGTGGCTTTGTTGGAGTGGATGAGGACTTGTTGGAGGAAGTGTGTCACTGCGGGGGCAGGCTTTGAAGTTTCATATATGCTCAAGCCACACCCCGTGTCACAGTTTACTTCTTGTTGCCTATAAGATGTAGAACTCTCAGCTCCTTTTACAGCACCATGTCCTCTTACCTGCTACCATGTTCCACCAAGATGATAATGGACCAAACCTCTGAAACTTTAAGCCATCAAATTAAATGTTTCCTTTATAAGAGTTGCCATGGTCATGGTAACTCTTCACACCAATAGAAATCCTATGTATGATAGAAGCTGATACCAGGACTGGGGTATTGCTGTGATAGGCCTGACCATGTTTTTGTTTGGAGGAATTCAGACTTTGATACTTTGGGTTAGGAAAGTAGTGGAATGTTTCAAACACTGCTTAGTGGGCCATACTAGTAAGAGCATGGAAGGCAATGGTGTTGAGAATGATTTGAATTGTGGTGGCCTTGCTCAAGAAGTTTCAGCAGAGAAAATACTAATATGTGTCCTAGAGACTGTTCTTGTGATATTTGGTGAAGAATATGGCTGCCTTTCGCCCTTGTCTGAAGAATCTGCTTGAGGCTAAAGTGAAGAGATTTGGATTAATTCCATTGGCAGAGGAAATCTCAAAACAGCCTAGTATAGGCTGTCATGTGGTTATTAGTGGTAATTATAATTAAGATTTATAATGAAAAGGAGCAAGTTGAGCAGGGTAAATTACAAAATGTAAAATTTGAGGAGAAAAGCAGTAGCAGGAAGTGGGATGGAGCTAAGTTCTGTGCTGTTCAAGGAGATAAACACATTAAGAAATGGAATAAAGGGGGTGGTGACCTCAGGGCAAGATCCCACCCAGCTAAGTTTCCAACTGGTGGAAAGGTATTAAAGAAAAGCTTAGAACTGGACTGTGGTTGTGCACGCCTTTAATCCTAGCACTCAAGAGGCAGAGATCTCTGAGTTTGAGGCCAGCCAGCCTGGTTAGCAGAGCAAGTTCCAGAACAGCAAAGCTTAGACAATGAAGGAAACCATCAAAAACAGAAAGCTGGTGAAGATTTAAATGAACAAGGGAGTCATGTTCCAGTCCCAGCAAGCAGCATAACTTGGCAACTTCAGCCACATGATGCTGGCTTTGGAGTCAAGGATAGAAAAAAGGATTTATAGAATCTCCCTCTGCAACCAAGAAATGCCGCTGAGGCCAGGCATATGTCATGGGTGTTTCTACGGAGGCCTAGAGAGAAAATTGTGTGAAGCTGTGAAGGAGAAGTCTGGATTGCCTTGGAGACCCCAAGATGTTAGAGATGTCAGAGCTGTGGGATACCTGCCAAGGAGAGATGCTCACAGGGAGTGGAACCAGCCCAAGGGAAAAAAGTGTGTTGCAGTGAACAACACTGAAAGGAGCTGGAGATCTGAAGAGCATTTCAACATCAGACATGGAGATGCAGAATTTGGAGTTTGCCCAGCTGGTTTTTGGTCTTGATTTGGTCTGGTATTTCCTTGCTATATTCCCTGCCTTACATCTTGGAATAGTAACACATATCCTGGGCCATTATATGTAGGAAGTATGTTATCTGTTTTTTTATTTTAATTTTATAGGGGATTACAGTTAAGAGATTGTATGAATTTCAGAAGAGACTATGGGGACATTTAAAGGTGGACAGAATGTATTTTTGCATTATGATATGGCTACAAGCCTGTGGAGGCCAGGGAGTAGAATGTACTGGTTTGAAAGAAAATGACCCCCAAAGGGAGTGGCACTATCAGGAGGTGTGGCTTTGTTGGAGTGGGTCTTTTTGAAGGAAGTGTATCACTATGGAGGTGGGCTTTGAGGTGGCCTCATATATGCTCAAGCCACAACTAGTGTCTCAGTGTACTTTCAGTTGCCTGCATGATATAGAACTCTCAGCTCCTTCTTCAGCACCATGTCTGCCTGCACACTGCTATGGCACCATGACAATAATGGACTAAACCTCTGAAACTGTAAGCCACCCCATTAAATGTACTCCTGTATAAGAGTTGCCATGGTCATGGTGTCTCTTGACAACAATAGAAAACCTAACTAAGGTAAGAATACTATAGAGAAGTGAAGATATTAGGTAGAAGATAATATATTAATGATCCTTGTGTTGACTTTACAAATGTGCAACATTCTACTCAAAAGAATGAGAATGACTCTCAACAAGTGATCATTTATACAAACAATACCATATCTGTCCTAAGAACTCTCAATAAGCTTTTCTTTGTGTGAAACAACGCAGTAATCAACCCAACCTAACAAAGCTGATGGAGGACAAGAGTTACTTAGATCCTACATGAATAGATTTTTTTCCTCTTTTCTCAGATGTAAATTTTTTCATATCTCCCAGAAATGCAACAATTGACAAATTCTACTTTAATAATTGCTAAACCTAATTGTTTTAGAAGATAACAAATACCACAACATAATGATGCTAACATTTCATAAAGAGAGATTTTTTTACTATTATATCAATGTTTTCCTGTATCTCCAGCAATAACTTTATGGTTTACTTTGTTTTATTCTATGAACCTTCTCATACTACAGTAGGGGTGTCCCCCTTGATGAGGACATTTACTTGGCAATTACTTGTTTTGTTGTGATCTCTGTGCTCTTCAAAGAAATGATGCTATATGGGGGCAAAGTCAAGCCAGATATTTTCTCATGGAAAAAGGTGAGGTTGCTGTATCAAAACCTGTGGTTAAATGTGAATTGTTAATTGTTCTCTGGAGCATTGCATAGATTGTACTGTGTTCAAAGGAATGGCAGATAAACAGAAATGCAAACCTCAGCTGTGTCCATCACTCTGTTTGTGTTTTCCTCCCATTCCACATTCTAATCAACAAGCCATGTCTGAGCATAATAAGATAGGGTTCATTTTGTCTCCTTCTCTAGTGGGAGATTCTCTTTGAGTCAAAGCTAATTTAACTCACAGTATTTAGATGTTCTGTTGCAGTTGTAAAGGAGGGATCTGTTTGCAAGAATGCTGAAAAAAAAAAAAAACCTCCAAGGGAAGTATCTCATACTAAAGCAAGATAGATGCAAAGTGTATCATCTTGCTGAGGGACACAGAAAAGAACCAGTACTGAGCAAAATGGTCGAAATGACTCACAAAATACCAGGAACTCATCTCCAACTGGCTTGAGAAAATGAGGATGTTTCCTAGAAGGCCTGAAAAGTCAAACACCAGAAGGTCCAAATACCTGGTTTTAGGTCAGGATTGAGTTAAAAAATCAAAAATATCATTAGGGGTGTGTGTGTGTGTGTGTGTGTGTGTGTGTGTGTGTGTGTGTGTGTGTGTGTGTGTATGTGAGTGTGCACACGCACATGTGTGCAGGCTTGTATGGATGGGTAAGTATGGAAGCCAGAGGTTGATGTAGAGCATCTTCCTCTGTTATTCTTTCCTTGTTTTTTTGAGACAAGGTCTCTCTGAAATCTCAGAGTTTGTCAATTGACTAGGCTCACTAGCCAGAAGGCTCTGGGGGATTCTGCCTGTGTCTGCTTCCACAAGGTTAGTGTTATAGACATGCACCACCACACCTGGCTCAATCTCAGGTCCTCAGGCTTTTGAGGCAAGCACTTAACCCACTGAGCCATTTCCCTAGTTCCCTATTAGCATATATTTTATTTCAGTTTCGAAGTTCTAAGTGTTGAGGGCTTAATTCTGATAATGTCATACACGCCTTGTTGCTGATAAAAGGAAAACTTCCTGAAACACAATTTAGATTATATTCTTTACATTCTAGTCTCATCTTGATAGAATGTTTGCCCTCATAAATCAACTAGAATAGCCTCCAAGTTTGCTGTGCCTGCCCTGTTGCTGGACTGTGGCCATACTTCTTATTCTTGACCCTTTACTACCATCTTCACAGCTGATAAAATGCCAGCTTCTCAAAATATTATCTTCCTCCTTGTTTCCATGGAGCCTCATCCTCTTCTTTAACATCCTACTTGTTTCTTCTTGGCCCGTTTTCTACCTCTTCTGCTTTTGTGGTACCCATAGTGCTGATGTGAATCAAGTGCAATCCCTGAGTCTTGTGGTCTCCTCCATCTCTTACGTATGGAGGTGAGAGATGTCATGCCTAAGATTGTATTATAGGACAACTGATATCTATATGGGGTGTATTATTGTTTATAGTTTCTCATTCTGAGGGAAGCTTAGTGCCTTTTAAAAAATTGTGTGGCAAGGAGCTAAGGGTGCATTTAGTCTGATAACCTATGAGTAACCTAATCTCACCAAAAACTACTTGGCTGATCTTGAAGACTGAGTCTTCTCTAGAGGAGGCTCCAAATGAGACCACAGCCTTGGTCAGCACTTGGATTACAAACTTAGAGAAGATTTTGAATTAGAGTCACCCAGATGCTCGGTCATCAGGCCTGACGAGGAATTAGTGTCCTTATTTAGCTTACCTTATCTAAAGGAAGTTGACCATGCACAATAGATTAGCAATAAATAACTAATGTGTGTAGGTATTACATACTTGGATATAACTAACAAGTGCTAGAAAATGTTGGAAAAAATTTTATGTACATTGAAATTGTGCAGACATTTTGTGTCATTATTTATTAAATAATACAGTAGCAGCTCTTTTGTTGACATATTTATTTGGGAAAATAGGTGATCTAAGTTGATGTAAAGCACAAGGTAATATATGTGGGGAAATCCCAAGCCCTTTTAAGAAAGGGAATCAATCCATGGATTCTGATACCAACAAGAGGTCCTAGGTCCTGATGGATATCTCATGGACACCAGCAAATGATTGTGCAGTGACCTTACATACTAATTACCAAATAACAAATTTAAAGTCCTGTCTCAGTTGTCACTTTCTCTCACACTCTAATTACTGCTTGATTTGTTTTATTTTTGTATTAAAAGTTATCATGTCTAAAATATAATTTTAGTGTTTTTTTTTCCAGTCAGTGACATGGCTACTCACTAACCTGTAAATAAAAATGCTACTCTTTATGTCCCTGACTCATTCAAATTAAGAGGAAGGTTTTTTCAATTCTACTTTTAAGTCATTTTAAGATTGAATTTTCCCTTCCATCCCTTTACCCCGCACCCCACCCCCATCCCTGATGGATAAACTCATGTGATAAGGCTGGTTGGTATCAGCTTATGCATATTGACTTTTAAATTTCTGAAATTTTGTAAAGTGTTAGCTAAGAATTTGGTCACTGAACCTATGGAAGCCATGCGGAGAAGTTTCATATTGTCAAATGAGCAAATGTACAAATCTTTTCTTTCCTCGCCCTAGTAAATTGTTAGGTCTCTACCAAAATACCACTGACTCCAGTAGATTCCCCAACTGGCTTTTCCTGCATCTGTTTTTGAATTGTGTCCCCAGCTTACTTTGCTTCAATCACAATAGTCATGGTAATGATTCTGAAAAAAAAAAAAGTCAGCTTATGTGATCTCACTGCTCTAAACAATTCATTGTCTTCCCATTATCCTTTTGTGGTGGTGTTGCTCAGCCTGCCCTGTGGTTCCTAGCTCATCCCTCTGTGTCCTTAGGCATTCCAGCTTTTCTTCCTTTCATCCATACTTCATGCCCATGTTTTTGTTTCAAATGCCTGCCTGATGATCACAGGACCAGAGCCAGGCATAGAAGCAACAGTCAAACAAACTGCTCCACCAGCTCCCACAATTGCATTAAGGTCCCCTTTCCTAGGTCACATCTAGTGGTTCTGTGAACCCTCGCTGATGCAGCATAGAACGCAAGCCAAAATTCTGGCTGGCTTACAGACTGTATGCTTCAGCTGCCTGTGCGTTCACTTGTGTGACCTGGGGTAGACCCGCTTTCCCTGGTCCTACACTAGTCCCACAATGGCCTCTGTTACTCAAGGACAGGAACTGTTCTGAGGATTTCAGAGCTTTCCTGTAGTTGCTCTGTCTGCCTGATGCGATTCTGCTCCTTTGCCTTGAGTCTCAATCAAAATGTCCTCTTCCAAGGGAGTGTTTACCAGATGGCCCAATTGTCCATCGGAACTACAGCCTATTGCAGTGTCTTTTTGCAAAATCCAGCTCACACTAGACTAGTTTTCTTTTTCTTTAATTTATTTGATTATTATCTCTTCTCTGTAATATCTATACACCTTTGAGACACAGACCTTTCAGGCAGGGCCAAGAGTAGATGCTTAGTATATATTTACTCAGTGTACATTAATAACTTCCATAATGTTGTTTTATACTGTATACAAGACTCAGTAGAGGTAATTTTTATAATCATCTCCTCTTGAGAGAGCATGAGGGTTTTTTTAGCAAAAAGGGCTTGAAAACATGGGTCAAAGGGAGTTGGAGAGGGAACTATGTGAGAAAAATTAAAAGAAAAGGCAAAATCCTGTTCGACTGAGCACACTATCTGAGATTCCATCCAATGTCTTCTTATACATGGGTAAGTGAGAGGACTGAGCAAATGCCATAACAAGCTGCTTAGTCTTCTGTAAGATTGATCAGGCCTCAATTTCAGTTTCCTGAGACTGAACAAGCAGTTTCTGAGGAAGCCACAAAGGACAATCAATCTCTAATGCCCCTGACAGCAGGGATGAGGGAGATAGTATGTATACCAAGCCTGGGCCGCTGAGCCAGCCCCGATAGTCAACACTTACTAGGCTAGCCAGCTCATGGTAATAACTAAATATGGACAGAGCCTGGGTCTTGTCTGGGCTTGTCCAAAAGTGGAAAAGATGTAGCCTTAACCAGCCCTTGCCAACCCTAACCAATTAGAACTTATTAATATGATTGCCACTCGCATAAACCAATCATATCTGAGATGACCGAATTGTCCCTTTCCCCTTAGCTGTGTTTAAAACGAGCCTGAGAGCTTCTCTCAGGGTTCATCGCCATTTTGCCTTTGTGTAGGATAAACTGCCCCAGCATACTGGTATAATACACTCTTTTGCTGATTGCTTATGTGGATGGTGGTCTTTTATGGGACTTCTCCAGGACCCTAACAGTAAGCTGTAAGAATTGATTGAAGATAAGTTTTTCCCTTAGAGTGGGCTCAGTTTTGCAACTGCGTTAATTTAGAAGCCATAAAACAAACAAACAAACAAAAAACAAACAAACAAAAAAACCCAACCCAGTTTGGAGATATTAGAATCCAGTGTCAGAGGGAATCCCAGGGGTCTGATACTCCGTGGTAATTACATATGGCAGAGTGCTGGAGATAATTTTCGTCAACTCTCTTGTGGCAGACACTTAAGTTAACATTTTCATGTCAGAAGTCAAGAAGGGACATTAGCTTAATCAAGTCTTGATTTTGCACCCAAATTTGGATTCCTGCTTTCTCTGTAACTATGCGACCTTAATTAGTACTTTCTCTGCATTCTTCGTGTTTAGGTTAGACATCAGAACTATTAATATTACCCAAACTTTGTAAATTTATTACAATGATTCAGTAAGTTAAGATAGTGTCTAACACATAATCATCAACTACAGTGCTAGTAATTATTTAGATCTGGTTTAACATATGCCTTTTTTTTTCTCCAATCAGAAAACATATATCTTGAAATTAGACATTCATGATAAACCTTTTTGCTTCATCCTAGTTTTTATAAATTCAAGCAAACTGTTTATTAAATCATGGTTTTCGGGTCTATTACATCAGCATTGACACAGTTTTGTTTCTGTTTTATTAATAAACCTTTATTTCTATCTTTGGAAAATGTTTATTTTAATTATTTTTATGATTTTTCCAAAAGCAAGTTTACTTTTCTTTTACATGGATTCTATATTTCCATTATTTATGCCCCTCCTCCCCTCACCTTCGTGAGTATAGCTTCTCTGAC